GGCAGAATCGAAGCCAGCTTGTCTATCCCACATTTCAACTCACTACATTATGATTATTGGTTTGCATATAGCACCGCATAGACTGCGATGAGGATGGCTTTACCCACCTTGGGTCCCAGTGCCTCACAGTATCTGATACCAATCCATTTTCAACAAATATTGATTTAATAGCTGCATGTAAAGTAGAAGTGTTTTCAGAAGACTGGAAAGCCATTTTGTTTAAATGACAATTGCAACAAGAAAAGCATATGTATTAAGTCTACCTTTTCCAGCCAATATTTGAAAAGTAAAATCCCAAAGTTGGGTGCTTTCTACATGGAAAATGTCTCCTTTCAAGTTTATGTTTAATAAAATTATCTTTTAGACACTTCAGAAATCATATGGGAGTTATATCTTGTTGGTGTTTTTGCTTCTGTATTTGTGTTTTGCTTGTAATTAGGGAACCAAGTCTAGTTGCTGGAAGGCAACCAAAATTTGGCAGCAGCCATAGGGGATTTTAGGATAGGAACATCCTGTTAGGATGGCTACCGTTTCTACGGCATCATGGAGATTTGTCCCCTGGGGTCTCTAGAAATGGCCACTGGTTGTGGCAGGGCAGGAGACCTTCAAATTTGAGTCATTTAGAAGTTAACTAAAAACTCAGACCTATTCAACAGTATTGTGCGTTACATAAGTTTCTAAAATTTGAGTTCAAATTGCATTTTTTGAACTAACTAAGCCTCCCTTAGATTCTGCCCAAAGCCGAATTATGTGAGAAAGGAAATTTAACACACATCTGAAAAATTAATTCATCAATGATACGAGTCTTGTATGAGAGAAATCTTGTTGAATGAGAATCATAATAAATGGCATATGGCTTTACACTTAAATGACTGCCGGCATGATCGTTGTACCTTGTTTCCTGCTTGAGATAGGATTTCAAAGAGATTTTTCTCTTTCCAGCTAAGAAAAACAATAGTAGTGAAAGGTCTGAAATATGACAGAAATGTTGGCTCTGGGAAAGGTATTTGCGATTTTGACACTTCCCATCGGACCAACGAGGTCCAGAGAAGGACGGGAATTCCAGAGACTTGTCCGAGGCTCCCTCCACAGCTACTGTCTTTCACAAAGACCATCACGATGGCCTCAGCCATGTTTTGATGTTTGAGATAAATCGTTTCTGCATTTCACTCACCTATTTGGAGACACTCTACCTTCCTCACCTCCCAACTTCTCTGATTCCGGCCAGGGTCATACCAGAGAGTCCAAAACCAAGGAAGTTGCAAGCGAAGACTGGAACACTTTTGGCAGGTCACAACTTGTCAAAGTAGACTTCCGCTGAAGACAAAAACCGTGTGCTTGGTCACAGATGGTCGGTCAGCAAAGTGCAGCGAGGAGAGAACATAGGTTTTAGAGCCAGACCAGACTGGTTTTAGATCCCGGTTCTAGCTGGTATGACCCTGTAGCCTCAGACCCTGCCCTTAACGTCACCTGCTACTCAGAGATGCTATCGGTCCTGCAGGGGATCGAAAGGATTTTATTCGTCACTATCATTAGGAAGAACCTATGAATGCTTTGATTGTCATCGCATAAAGCCCGAAACCATGAGTAATTAGCACTCCTATTTCCTTAGTTCTAGAAACTGAAGAGCAGAGAGGTTAAATAAACCACTTCACATAACACACCAGGGATAAACGGGGATCTGAATGAAGGTCTTTCTGGCCCCACAGCCTTTGCCGCTGCTGCTGTATCTCAGGATCAGGAAGAAGGGAAGCCAGGAGCCCAGCATGCTGCCTGGTGCTCGAGCAAACAGTGGTTGTTGCAGTGAAGCCGAGGAATCAGAAACATGGTCACTTCCCCGCCGCCCAGCACCGTGGAAAGCGTAGTGACTCCGATGGAGGAGAGGAAACAAGTGGATCTAGAGATGGAAAAGGGAGGTGGAGACAGGCATGCAGATATGTGGGCTGGATTGCGGGGCAGCACTCCCTAGGGTCCCCCGACCCTTAGGGAGCTGGGGGGCTCCCCAACCTGGGTGGATCTACTCTCTTCAACTCTCCCTCTCATGCTTTATTTCTGTCGATCCTGTGCAGTTGGGGCCTTCCTGGGCCATCCTGACCATGCCTCGAATTTTGTTAAGTAAATATCTTGGCCCTAAAATGAGCTATTTTTTGACACATGAACAAAGGTCTCTTAATCTTCCATTACCAAGACTTCTGAAGGTTAAGATATCTCACTGGCACATTCCTGCCCCAAATAGGAGATTGTGCATTGCCCCCAAGTTACGGGCACTTAACATGAAGAAGTCTTCTGGAACCACAATAATCCAAATGTTATCAGTCTTCTCCCTGACAAGTTCCCCGACCTTCTCCATGAATCACAGCTATAGTGTCCTCTTACAAGGCCAGATGAACTGCCCCGAGTCTGGGTGGGGATCAGCTCTGCAAGGTTTTAGGAGGAAGCCCCGGCACATATTTGTCCTGCCGTGGTGTGAGGAAGCAGGAGTGAGACAGAGGGTGTTGTTTGTGAGGTCTGCGATTTTTATCTGCAGAATTCATACAGCCACACAATGGCCCTTCCAGGCTGGGGGCTGGTGAGTGGAGGAGAGTGGAGGCCTGTCTGGAGGTCTTTTGGAGCTCTAAAAAGCATCTGGCAGAACCTTTCCAACTACTTTCTGCAACACACACGCTGCATAAATTCTGTGGTGGCAATTTTGGATTCATTAAGGCACAGATTTGATTTCTGAAACCATTTAAGTGTTTTTTGGAGTCAAGTTTAGCTGAGAAGGTAGGTGGCTGGGGGGGAGAACAGAATTTCAAGTTAAATGAAAATCTGTGAGTCTTTAAAGGCAGAATTATACTTCCAGCATTTAGCACAGGCCTTAGAAGAAACTATGTGTTTAATAAAAAGTAAGTGGGGGCAACTGGGTGGCTCAGTTGTTTCAGTGTCTGTCTTCAGCTCAGGTCATGATCTCAGAGTCCTGGGAACGGGCCCAAGTCAGGCTCTCCACTCAGTGGGGAGTCTGCTTCTCCCTTACCTGCTGGCCCTCTCCCTGCTCGTGTGTGCTATCCCACGCACGGGCTCTCTCGCTCTCTTGCAAATAAGTAAATAAAATCTTTTTAAAAAGTAATTGGTGAAGTGGGAGGTCGAGGGGTTAAGGATGAGGCACCGGTTTAAGGTGCTGTCCTTTTATGCCTCACCAGCTCATTACTTAGAAGGTGAATCTTAGGAGGAACCCTGAAAATTCCTGAATCATTTTCCAAGAATTTACAGCCTTCCAAGGGGAAGTCTAACCAACAATGCCTGTTTTTGGTGGGTCAATTTTGGATGTGAAGGCCTGTGGAATTCGGGCCCTATCTGTCTTCTGTCTGAACTTCTCAAGTACCACGGAAAAAGCCCATTCTGACTTGTGCCTGAGTTACTCACAAAATGACTCCTTTCTCCTACTGTATAGATACAGAGTTCACTGATGCCTTGCTAACCTTGCACACAGTAGGAATTAAATAAATGTGTGCATGATGAAAGCTTGTAGAGGAAAGCAAGAATCTCATCTCCTGTTTCCTCCAGGCACAGAATCGATCTGGCAATGGGGGGGAACCAGTCCCTTCTAGTCATAGAAACACATAACCGAAAGACAAATGTTAGAATACGGGTAAAGCTGGTAAGTTTATGAAAATACTAGCTTACACTCTGAAATTGTTTTGGGAGCTTTGGCATCTTCCTTGATCTTAGCTATAGCCTAACGTCCCAAACTGCCAACCATATGCCCCAGCTTCGACCTCCACACAGTTTGCCCATCCTAAGAGGAAACCAGTTATTGTCTCTCTACCATTTATTTTTTTCCTTCGTCCTCCTTGTTTTTTCCTTCCAAGATTTAATTTAAATTCAAGCTAGCTAACAAAATAGGGTAGTTTTGGTTTAGAAGTAGGATTTAGTGATTCATCACTTACATATGACACCCAGTGCTCATCACAACACGTGCCCTCCCTAATGTCCATCAACCATTTACCCCATCCCCTGTCCACCTGCCTCCTTCATCTCTACCACTTAGATTAATACTTTCTGTCAAAGACCACCCTGGAGTGTCTAGATTTGAATCTGAAACAAACAAGAGATGATTAAAAAGATTCAGGAGACATTCAAATGAGGGATTTCATAAATAACGTTAGTATACTTGGCCACTTATAAACATTATGAGAAAACCCCACTCCGCTCAGAGAGCTTAGGACTTGCTTGAACTCGCACAGTTGGTTAGCTCTCCAGGCCAGGGCTCCACACCAGGCCAGCACCGGCCTCCTTCCAGTTCGCTGCAATGCCTCCCTCACACATGTCACTTAGAAGCCTGATGCCCACGTTCAAGAGCACCGAATATATGTAGCCAAAGCAGGAAGCTGCATGCGTCCCCCGTCCGGAAGAATGACTGGACTGTCTGGTTTCAGCTGAGCTCGCAAGGACCAAGCAGGTCCTCGTTTTCCAGACAGAAAACACGGTGACCTACTTTTCAGGACTCTCAGAAGCAACCATTATAAAGGAGGCTGCAAAGACAAAGCCTTCGGCTAAAAGAAAACAAGAAGGCGATGAAACCCTGGAACAAGGCAGGTGCCGTGTCTGAATGGAGACTCCAGCACGGGGGAACGACAAGACCCACATCGCCTGGGCAGCCCTCCGTGCGTACACTCTCCCTGGGTGAGACTTCCTTTAGCAGTCACTGGAGCGGCGGGAATACCAAGCATACCACCAGGTGTGGGCAAGTCATTTAGGATTTATTACTCCCTTGCTTCTCCTCCTACCTTTACTTAGCCAGAAGGAAACGAGAGGAAGCGAATTCTAATTCATTCGTCTGTCGTGCAAACAGCCTCATACTCATTGAAGGGAGGTTGAAACAGAGTGAGAGAAATTGGCTTTAGGAGTCTAAGTTTTGGCTTACTGTATTCTCCCCCTACCAGAAGCAAACAGGAGTTACAGAAACTTCCCTCCCACATCCACATTGCAAAACGTCCTAGAGTTTAAAAACCCAAACTTACTGCTCAGGGGCTCGGTAAGTGAAGTCCAAAGCCAAGGAGAATGATGTCTCTTCTCTTTTGTGAAAAACACCATATGCTCTTAGGTGGGTTGGGAGATGCGCTGGGCCGTTATTAATAACTGGCTTAGAGCTTCATGAAGAAACATGAGCCAGGCTGTCACGGGAGGAGGCAAGTGGAAAGGAACTGACAGGCACAGGTGGGATAAATTACAACAAAAATATGCTTGGACCCGCACAGGAGCTCAAACAGCCCGTGAGGAGGGGAATCGAAACCGCTCCCCCGCCCCAGTAATCAATAAACCCTTCTGTCAGATGTTCTAAGAATCAAACCATAACTTACAAGAATACCGTTTTATTCTCTTGGAGAACACCATGACTCATTTAACGTCATACTATCCTTTGTTCTTCTGAGTGATCCTTTTCCACGGATAGCTGAATATCTTTTCACATGTATCCATTTTGCTTTGTTTACCTTGACTTCCTCCTGTTTTTAAAATATATAAACAAATGGATTTTCAAAAAAGAAAGAAAGAAACACTTAACAAATGGATTTTCAAACGCACATTATCATTTTGAGATCTAGTTGCCTGTGAGCATATCCCTGTCTTCCCCTTAAGGAACCCGAAAGAATTCCCAGCAAAGTGTATGTATGTGAGTGTGTCGGGGGAGGGGAGCAGGCCTTGGGATAGTATCACACAAGGGAAGCTGCAGCTTTGAAGTCCAAAGACGAGAAGTGGAGTCACAACCTGGCTACTGGTTGCAGTGTGTCTCCTTTTGAAAAACTGTATCTCACAAAAAGCCCAAAAAAGATACACCTCCCCAGTCCCCAACAACTGATGTTAAATTGTTTGGATCATTAACAGCATGTCTTCAGACCTAAATTAAATTAAACATTAGCTCTCCCCGTCTGTCTGGGTGTTGAAAAGGAAACTGACCGTTAGACAAAGTTATTGAAATACATAAGGATACAAACCGAAGGGAAAAAATCTCGTCAAATTGCCTCATTCTTAAGGTTCTAGCCATCTGTCACCTTGGCTCAGGCCTGGTGACTGTCCTTTTTCCAAACTAAACCCTTTTCAACCAAATCCTGGGGGTGAGGGGAACTCAAAACCCCTCACTACAAATAGTGGAGTGCTACTTTGCTGAGGCAACTGTTAAAAAGAGAAAGTAAGGGGCGCCTGGGTGGCTCAGTGGGTTAAGCCTCTGCCTTTGGCTCAGGTCATGATCCCGGGGTCCTGGGATCGAGCCCTGCATCGGGCTTTCTGCTCAGCGGGGAGCCTGCTTCCTCCTCTCTCTCTCTCTGCCTGCCTCTCTGCCTACTTGTGATCTCTGTCTGTCAAATAAATAAATAAAAATCTTAAAAAAAAAAAAAAAAGGAGAGAGAAAGTAATATACCAGTGACCACCGGTTTAAGAGATGGGTAGGAGGGAACAGAGTAGGTACAAGGCCTTAATTTTCTTTTTCATTCACTGATCAGTTACAATTCTTGAGTACCCACTGAATATACGTACCTTTATAGAACACATTCATGTACTATTGTGAATACATGACGTACATCATAAAACACAAATGGAATTTTCTTAAAGATGAAATTTAAAAATAGACATTTTGATATCGTCTTAACACCCCCTCAAGGGTCATTTTGACCAGTGCCTGCGGCCCGAGATCCCACTCTGCAGATGACTGGGGAGTGGTTCCAAGCCCTAGCTCTCACTTACTACCTGCTGTGGGTTGAATTGTGTCCCTCAAAAAGATATGTTCAAGACCTCCCTCCCAGGACCTGTGACTGTGGCCTTACTTGGAAATAGGACCTTATATAATCCTCGTATAATCCATTTAAGATGAGCTCTTACTGGATTAAGATTGGTAATACTGGGCCCTAACCCAGTGACTGCTGTCCTTAGAAGAGAGGGCAATTTGGACCCAGAGAGGACACCATGTGACAAAGGAAACAGAGACAGAATGGTAGGTCCACGAGCCAGGAACACCGAGGGCCGCTGGCAGACACTTCAGCTATGACAACACAAGGAAGCATCCCCTCCGGGTGACTTCAGAGAAAGGAGGGCCTTGTGGACACCTGGATCTTGGACTTTCAGTTTCCAAAACAGAGACAATACATTTCTGTTGTTTTAAGCCACCAAGTTTGCGGTCATTTGTCCCTCAGCCCTAGGAAACGAATATATTAATTATGTGATATTAGCAAAGTGACATTAGTAATGTGACATATTCTTCTTGTGCCTCAGTTTCTTCATCTGTAAAATGGCAATCGAAAAGGGATCAGGCTGTTTCAAGAAATGAGTGACATTAAGACATGCCCTGTCCTCAGCATGGTGCCGGGAACACTCAAAAAATAGCTTGCACTTTGGGAAGCTTTACGAGCAAGGACAGGGGCTGGCCAACTTTGGTGGAGCACTCCTTCAAAAACTTGCCACTCGGCAACTTGTGTGGAGGCGGTGGGAGCAGGGTGGGTGGAGAAGGGGCAGTGGCGTGATACTGCTGGGCTCTACCTGAATCCTGTTCCCCTGAAATTGCTCACCACTTTGTGTTCCAGGAAGAGGTTTACCACAAATAACCACCTTTCTACAAATGACTTCGACAAGACTGGTGGGTAACTCCCTTGTTCACGGCAGCAAGCCCAGACACAAACCCTCTCCATTGCCTTCTGTCTCAGAAACGGTCAGCTGAGCCTTTTGCCCCCACTGACTAATCTGAACAAAATACCTGCTAACGTGCCTTGACCGAACTCTACTCAGGCTTCTCTCTCCACGGTCCCCTGAACTTTGACCCACCTGCATCAGAATACAGAACAGCCCTTCCTTAGCATGTTTTCCAAAAATAAGTTGACCACAGACATTCTCTAATCAGTTGTCTAATCATACACCCTCTCACCTAATTGTGGACACCCAGTCCTTTCAGCTTTGTTTACTCCTCTTTATTAAAAAAAAAAAAGCCAATTTTTTTTCCTTTTTTTAAAGATTTTATTTATTTGACAAAGAGAGAGAGACAGCGAGAAAAAGAGCACAAGCAGGGGGAGCAGCAGAGGCAGAGGGAGAAGCAGACTCCCCGCTGAGCAGGGAGCCCCACATGGGGCTGGATCCCAAGACCCTGAGATCATGACCTGAGCCGAAGGCAGATGCTTAACAACTGAGCCTCCCAGGTGTCCCGAAAAAGCCATTTTCTGCCTGAAATTTGAGATGCTTGTAGATCTTTTGATCACTGTTTTCTGAATTTTAATGGGTCCCTGCCATATTATGTCTCTTCTTTTTAATAATTTAAAATGTCTTTAATTGTGGTAAAATACACATATCATAATCTTTACCATCTTAATCATTTTTTAAAAGATTTTATTTATTTATCAGAGAGAGATACAATATAAGCAGTAGGGGGTGGCAGGCAGAGGGAGAATCAGGATCCCAGCTGAGCAAGGAGCCCGAAGCCGGACTCAATCCCAAGACCCCGGGATCATGACCTGAGTTGAAGGCAGACACTTAACCTGACTGAGCCACCCAGGCGCCTCTCATCTTAATTACTTTTAAGTTTCCATTCAGCAATGTTAAGTATATTTACACTGTTGGGCAACAGACGTTCAGAACTTTTTCATCTTGCAAAACTGAAACTCCATACCCCCTAAACGGCAACTCTCCCCTCCCCCTTCCCCCCAGCCCCAGACCCTGTCAACCACCTACAGCAGTCTTTTCAAATAAAGTCTCTCCTTACCTGAATCTAGATTTGTTTTTCTTGGACGGTTTTCTGGTGCCTTGTCTTACATAGAGTGCCGACCACCCCCCAGACCCCTCGGTCTTCACCCCGGTGTTCATGCTGGCTTCTCAGACTCTGCGTCCTGGGGGTGTGGCATCCATGATGGTGAGTGGATCCAGGGCTCTGGACATTTGTGTGTTGTAACACTCTAAGGAGCTTCACTGATTCTTTCAGGCAAGGAGAATTTTCTCTGTCTCTTCTGCGAGGCTTCTTCCATTCTTCCTCTGTTTCTCTAATGGTTTGTTTTGTAAGGAAATACCCTCAGCTCCTCCACTGAGGTCTGAACAAGGGGTGATTGGGATTGTGTAAGGAGAACTAGAGGAATAAAACAAGTAGTATCTTTTCTGTCTTCTTTAAGGTCTTATGTCTGATTAAATCATCTAATCCCCTGGGTTACTGGATATATTAGTTTCCCTGGGCTGTCATCATAAAATACCAGAACTAGGAGGCTGTTAACAATGGAATTTTGTTGTCTCACAGATCTAGAGGCCTCAAGTCTGAAATCAAGGGTCCGGGGCCAGGGAGGGAGGTGTCCTCCTCTGGAGGCTATAGGGGAAGAGCCCTCCTTGCCCCTCCCTGGCTCCGCACAGTCATCTTCTCCCTGTGTGTCTCTATCTTCTCTTCTTTTAAGGACACCAGTCATATTGGATTATGGCCCACCCCAATGACCTCCTCCTAACTTGTTTATCCCTATACACACCCTATTTCCATGTAAAGCCACATTTATAGGTACCAGAGTTAGGACATCGACATGTCTTTAGAGGGGACACAATTTGATCCAGGACAATAATTCTCTCTCTGGCACTCCCCTCCTCTTCTCCCTCCCTCTACCTTGCCACGATGACACTGATTCAGTTCAATATCTTCAGTAAGGCCAAATTTTCCTGAAGACCCCTTGGTACTCGAGTGACTTCTTGAGGAAACGAGACAACTCCTCAGTCTGGTCCGCACCTAAAATCTTCCTTCCTGTCATTCCCTGTCCCTCATGGCTCCTTCTTCCTCCTTTTTAATAAGTCTGACCTTCCTTTAAATTCCCTTGAATTGTTTGATCTGTTCCCCTTCAAAACCCTTCCATCTTCCATCTCTCTATCTACCCTACCCTTCCCGGCTGGCCCCTCAGCTCCTATAGTCACTGGAGCTAGAGGTGGCCCTCCCCTTGTCAGGGTCCTCAAGGGGTTCAAGGACCCTAAGAGCAATCACTTGAGGTTGAAAAATGAACTGGAAACAGATGGGATATTTAAGACACTTAGACGGGCTTTGGACACACACAGAGGGCCACTTGGTCCCACTCAGCCCTTTGTCCAAAATTTCATTCACAGTTCAGAAGATGACATATCTCTCCCTCTCTCTCTTTCTCAAGTAAAAAAAAAAGTTACCCTTGAATGAAACTCTCTGGGACACACAATTGCAGAAAGAACTAATACAAGATAACCAGGATACACCCTTATTAAGGGAAAGGAGAGTAGATTTGTCCTAAAGTAATGACTGGGTGTTTAAGAACGAGGAAGAGAAACATGTAGGACAAAATCTGAATGGAGAGAGAAAGTTGTAGAAGTTTCATAGAAAGATAATTTCATTTGTCATGGTCAATGCTGGTGAAAGTTTGATGGGCTTATTTATAAGTTTTTCTTTAAAAGAGCTTTAGTATCAGGGCACTTGGGTGGCTCAGTCGATTAAGTGTCTGCCTTCGGCTCAGGTCATGATCCTGGGGTGCTGGGATCCAGCCATACGTTGGGCTTTCTGCTCAGCGGGAAGGCTATTTCTCACTCTCCTCCCCACTTGTGCTCTCTCTCATTATCTCTGTCTCTCTCTCTCTCAAATAAATAAATAAAACCTTAAAAAAAGAGAAGAGTTTTAGTATCAAATATTATACTGATGCAAAACTAAACTTTTGTCTTTGCTAAATGAATGAAATCTTCCTATTTGGGAAATAGCTAAAGTTCTTTACAATCATGTCATATTTATTTATTGATTGATTTGCAGGGTGGGGAGGGGCAGAGGGAGAGAGAGTGAGAGAGAGAGAGAATCTTAAGTAGGCTCCATGCCCAGCACAGAGCCTGATGCGGGGCTCCATCTTACAACCCTGAGATCATGACTGGAGTCGAGGCTCAAGAAAGCTTTTAAAAGTCCATTCTGAGATTTCTTATGAAAGCTTCGAACAAAGCAAACTTGAAAGGCCTGCACATTAAATCATCATTCTTGCTGCACCTCTGCCAATAATCAAGTCATATCTAATGAGACTAGCTTTATTTTATGATTGAGAATGATCTTTCCTTGTGATCATCTTTGATCAAAAGGGAGATAACTCTCGAGAGAATTTTGTGTTTCAGTGGAAAACAGTAGCACAGCCTGTGGGTTATCAGATTCTGGCCCTGTTCATTGTTTCTGAGCTAGCCTGGGCATCTTTGTAATTGCCTGTAACTGAGGGATATGCACTCCTGTAAACTGAACTCGATCCTATCATCTTGCACACATTGTCAAAACTTGTTAAATGTTCACTTCTGTTATTTTCCTTCAGTATCTGTGTACAACCATCCAAACTAATATTTCCAATTTTTCTCCCCTCCCCACCCTGTCTTGGCATCACCAAGAACAAAAATATGACTTAGCAGATCCTCCTTGGGACTTTAGGTTGCCTTGTCATTGGCTTCTTCCCCAGCATCTGAGGCAGCAGTGCAACCTAAAACCTCTGTAGGGCCGCCTGGGTGGCCCAGTCGTTAAGCGTCTGCCTTTGGCTCAGGTCATGATCCCAGGGTCCTGGGATCCAGCCCTGCATGGGCTCCCTGTTCAGCAGTGAGCCTGTTTCTCCCTCTCCCACTCCCCTTGCTTGTGTTCCCTCTCTCACTGTGTCTCTCCCTGTCAAAGAAACAAAATCTTTTAAAAAATAAAAAAATAAATAAAACCTCTATAGACCTCAAAAGACTTCCCCGCAGCGGCCCATGCACAGACCAGATTTCTCCCTGGAAAGGGCATTGTCTGGGCTAGCAAAGAAACCTGATGAAATGCTCAGGTCATGTGTGCCTTTATATACAAGGCAACCATGACCACGGACAGCATTTCCAAGAGCACTGACATCTTAGCTTCGACAAGTGCAATGACCAGTGCTGGATTACCACCTGCCTCTCGGAACCTACTGGAATACACAGCCCCAGGGCAACTCTTGGCTGTTTACCTAAAATAACTATTTATTTTTAATATTTCTCTATTTCACTCCAGTCAACTTTCTCTTCAAATGCCTGATCAGTGGGATTCTTAGTCAACCGATCTTATCTACTACCTCTCAGTAGACGACTGTCTGATGTTTCAGAAACAACACCAATGAGAGTCTTCTGGAGACTATTTTTTTAGATGGTTTTTCCACTCAGGAGATTTAAGACTGCCTCTGAGTTGTTAGTGATAAATGATATCTATTCATCTTGAACAAAAGAAGGACTGACATGGGGGTACCTGAATGGTTCGGTCGGTCAAGCATCTGTCTTTGGCTCAGGTCCTGATCCCAGGGGCCTAGAATGGAGGCCCCAGTCAGGCTCCCTGATCAGTGGGGAGTTTGTTTCTCCCTCTGCTTCTGCACCTTTCCCCTTGCTTGTGCTCTTCCTCTCCTCTCTCTCTCTCTCAAATAAATACACAAAATCTTTAAAAAAAAGAAAAAAAGGGACTGACAATGCTGAATTTCTAAAAATTTTTGAGTGTAGTAAAAGACACATAACATTAAATCTACCATCTTCACCATTTTCCGGTGTATGGTTCAGTGGTGTTAAATGCATCCACATTGTTGTACAACCAATCTCCAGAACTCTTTGTATCTTGCAAAACTGAAATTTTTTGTCCATTCAAAAATAACTCCCCATTCTCCTCTCTTCCCAACCTCTGGTAAACCACTGTGCTACTTTCTGTTTCTATGATTTTTTTTTAAGATTTTATTTGTTTATTTGACAGAGGTCACAAGTAGGTGGAGAGTCAGGCAGGGCAGGGGGTGGGGGAAAGTAGGCTCCCCACTGTGTAGAGATGCCGGGTTCCATCCCAGGACCCTGAGCCCTGATCATGACCTGAGCCCAAGGCAGAGACTTTAACCCACTGAGCCACCCAGGCACCCCTGTTTCTATGATTTTGACCACTCTAGAGACCTGGTGTGAGTGGACTTGTACAGCATTTGTCTTTTGGCCACTGGTTTATTTCATTTACACAATGTCCTCAAGATTCATGGGTGTTGTAGCATGTCAGAGTTTCCTTCCTTTTCAAGGCTGAATCATATTCTATTAAATGCATTTACCATGTGTTGTTTATCCATTCATCCATCAGCGGATGATAATGTTGAACTTTACCTGAGCCTTATGTTCCTAGAAAACAGTAGTCAAGAAATCCCCTCACACTTTTGTGCTTCAAAATGGCTTTCTAAAAAGAACCACAGTTGTTTTGTGACTTAGGTAAGACCCACGGATGGCCAATTACTTATCTAAGACAAGACCAGACACACACTCTCCAACTTCCCCTTCTTTGTCTCATAAAATGATTAGCTGAATTGTTTGCTCCTACCAACCAATCTGGATAGAATACTGGCTAAACTTTAGTCAAGCTTCTCCCCTTCCCACAGGCCCTTGAACTCTCACCCCCAGATTAGAACGCAGAACAGCCTTTCCTCACCACCCCAGTCTGCAGAAACTTGTGAGACACTTGCTGATCTTCCGTACAGAATGTTCTCACCATTGCAATAGTCCCATCTACCTATTGCAATCGTCTTCTCAAATACAATTTCTCCATACCTTAGTCTGGATTTGTTTTTATTTGACCGGGATTAATGAGAAAATGCTGAGAGGTGTACTGCTAGACACAGACTGAGAACCATGGATGTGGTCCCAGACTTTAGGCAGATAATAATTTCTTTTTTTTTTTTAGAGTTTTTTTTTAAAGATTTTATTTATTTATTTGACAGAGGGATCACAAGTAGGCAAAGAGGCAGGCAGAGAGAGAGGGGGAAGCAGGCTCCCTGCTGAGCAGAGAGCCCGATGTGGGGCTCAATCCTGGGACCCTGAGATCATGACCTGAGCCAAAGGCAGAGGTTTAACCCACTGAGCCACCCGGTCACCCCAGATAATAATTTCTTAATCCCATTTTCTAGGTAAGGAGGTGGAACTATAAGAAGGCCAAAGGACAGGCTGACAGTCCCAGCACCATGACAGAGTGGGAATCAGGTGCTATTGCTGATCTCATACAAAACAATGGCCTTTCCAGCGTGAACGTGCCTAATCTTGGTCAATATTTGTAGTTGATGAAAACTTTCTCCAGTATTCTAAGAAAAGGCAAATGGATCCAAGAGTGGAAAAAAATGAACAGAATACCCAGAGCTTAAAGGAACCTCGTTCCATCCATGGAAATGAATGAAAACCATCCAAATGAGAACCACCAAGTCTGTTTATTCAGAGGCTGCTCCAGCAAGGGAGTTGGCCACCATCACATACACTGGGTGGAGACTCAAAGGCAGGCAGAACACTGGGAGCGCTTTACAGCGCATAAAAAAGAAGGCCCCAAGTGTGGCCTGACTGGAGGCTGGAGGCATGGGGCTGCCGTACATAGGCTAACTAAAGTTGGGAAAACCTATGTGACTGGTTAGGAAATACATGTTGGCCTTCCTACCGTGGGTCCTAAATGAGAAGTGGGTGCAAACTGGAGGCAAGCTGTCGTTACAGAGCCCTGGCCGACTGCAGCTGTTGGCCACGGGAGTTATGAGCTGGCTTCTGGGACTGCTTACTGTTGTAGCCGGCTGGCATTCTGGGCTGATTGCAGCAGGCTGTAGGTCAGAGTACGATTTTTATAAGTAGCCCGATCCTTGTATATTCATCCTCTCAGGTCTCTCAAGGACTCTGCATTCATAAGAGGCCTTCACGCCAGCCCCGCTAGTGATCCCACACTCAGACCAGGGATGACGGCAAGAGGCTTGCAGAGGAGAGAAGGCATGTAGAGGCTAAGTGTGTTTCAATGGTCTTCACCCCCACCCCCACATTGTCTTTTTTTTTTTTTTAATTAAAAGGTGAAAATCAGAGCCTGAGCATCATTGGCTTTCCAGGGCTCTCGGACAATTCACAGACTAAGACCCACCTGCTTGCCTTCCATGGCTTCTTGGTTCACAGAATCTCAGAAAACCCAAAGGACTTCAGCAGCCTGCTCACATGGCCCTCATAGTTAGCAGGCTGGGAGAGAGAGTTACAGAGATTACAGTGCTTAGGTTCTAGTCTAATTCGGCTGAGACCTCCTTGAGGCAGCAGGGGGGACTAGATGTCCTCAAGGAGCTTAGCCAGTGTGTGAGATAAGTGAGTACACACACTACACACATTCCCAGACCTACCATGCACGGTCTCAGCTCTGAGCTCCTAAATGCTATTCCTTATGTCTAAAAAACCTATCCTTCCCCTAATTTCTCACTGTGAATTCCCTTTTGCCCCTCAGTTCCTCGTTGCAGCATTACCTCTAGGAATACTTTCCCACACCCCAGACTCCTCAACACACACATATGCCCCCAAAGAGTGCCTTGAGCTCACCTTTCCTGGAGGGCCTATTCTGTTCTGCTCCAGATCTTTTAGCCTCTTTGCCCCAAATAATCATAAGATCCTGAAGACCACCCCTCGACTTAGTGCCTATTGTCTGTCTCATTCCTAACACTAAGCAGCCCCTCAGACATGTGGAGGTGTGCAACACAGAGAGGAAGTGCGTTAGAAAGACTTGACTGATGGAGGAGGTGTGCCAGGGCCAAGTCCAAAAGAGGAGGTGGGACCTTGTCCAAGAGTCAATGGGGAAGGCATTTGGGGCAGAGCTACGAAGAGGAGCAAAAGCCTGGGGAGGGCAAGGGGTGGATATGGGGAGGGTGAGAATGGCCTGCAGCTTGCATTGTTGAAGGAAAGGGACAAGGCAGAGGCGACCACAGATGGAACTGAGACTTGTGGGGTCCAGGGGGATGGGCATAACGGGTGAAGGGGAGTGGGAGGCACAGGCTTCCAGCTCCGGAATGAACGAGTCATGAGGACGACTGGCTGGCATAGGGAATAGAATCAGTGGTATCATCTAGCATTGTATGGTGACCCATGGTAGTCACCCCCATGGGGAGCACAGCACAGCACTTAGGTGTCGTAAGCCTGAGACTAATGCAACTTTGTGTTTCAACTGTACTCAAGTTTTTACAAAATGGGAATAAGCAGGGCTCTGTAAAAACCTTCATGTTCTGCTTTATCGCGTACTAGCAGTTTAACTCCAAGTAAGTGATTAAGCTCTCTATGCGTCAAGTTCCCCCCTCATAAACGGAAGATCATAGTAGTCATCCGCCTGTAAAGTTGTTGCAAGGATCAAGTGGGCTCACATGCGTGGAACACTTACAAGAGCCCAGAGTAAGAACTAGGAACATGCTTGCCAGTCTTACATTATGTTAAGCACATCATCCCATGGGCAGGAGGAGGCTAATACTTCTCTTCTCAGCAAGGGTGAGATAGGGTCAGCTTTGTCCAGAAAGACAAAAGGAGGAGAGGCTGGTGGATCGGGACCTGAGGCCAGACAAGGAGCTGGGAAACCATTTCTTACAACAGCCCAGTGGGCGCTGAGGACAGACCTGACCTGGGGCAGGAGTGGAACAGGGAAGAAGGGTAGAGTTGCCTGCAGCGGGTATACAGTTGGAAAGATTTAGTGCCTCGCTCAGACTGGGTGGAGAGAGACCGCAAGAAGTCCAGAACACGCACCAGATTCCTGGTGTAGGCAGCTGGATGAGTGAGGTACAGAAATTCAAAGAGTCTCTGAGCCCTTCCTATGTATCCTATGTGGCCTAGAGCTGGGCTTGGAAGCAAAGATGCAGAGGAATTGGTCCAGGGACACAGCAAGCCAGCCTGTGGCCAGAGGAGACTTGAAGTTCAGTCTCCCAGGTTATGCACTTTTCCAACATATCCTCATGCAATCCGAGACATGGGTCCTTCCCAGGGATAAGACTTCTGACCCGCACATCACAGCTCTGCACCCTGGAGGAGCCACGGGAAACGCTGCAGCATGGAGGGAGGTGGGGTGGGGAACGCTATGGACTGGCGAGGGCAGTTCATGCCAAAACAAAAATAGCGCCTGACCTCTAGCCCCCCTCCTTCTGGCAAATTTCTCTTATCCCATTCATTCTGATGCAAAAATCTTACATACGCTTTGCCTCTAATTCCCATTTTTATCAGATCTCTACCGTTTGTTTTCTAAATTTCAAAAAGGGTTATAGTTTAAAACTGCTATTGAGGTGACGTAATGAAAAAAAAAATCCTATTGGAATTATGTATTAAAGCAATTTTTCAAGCACTTTTCCCAAATTTCATCTCAAGAAGCTGTTTGGGCTCTTGTTAGTAAGGAGAACCCAACTTCATAAATCTGCGTTGAACGAAGAAGTCAGTGAAAAGCAAAAATCCTGGAACAGTAACCTTCAAGAACCAATGTGTCCCTTCTCACAAGCCCATGGCCCCTCCAACCACCCTCAGCGCAGCAGAAGGAAGAGTTCATCCAACTCCAGGTTCCTAACATCCCTCCACAATCCCGTTAGAGTCACAGAGAGCCTGTGCGTGTTTTTACGTGGCGGAATGCGTAGGGTCCCATGTGAGCACAGCTTTGTTTGAAGAAGGCAGACCGGCTTCTAACAGGAAGCTTCAGCCAAAGGGAAGGTAGCTGGCAACTAGCAACTGGCCGTCAGTCCTTGATAATATTTGTCAGGAAGCTAACTTCCTGTCCTTAATCAGCCCAGTATTTTTTAAAGTGATGAGAATGTCCTGGGCATGGTGGGGGGCAGTGGGGAGGAAGTGACAAAGAACAGTAATCAAAAGCTTTTGCCCATTGTCTCTGCCCTGTCAGCTCCATTTGGCCCCATTTCCTTTCTTTTTTCTTTTTCTTTTTTTTGGCCCAGTTTCAATTTCTGGACACACTGGGGGAGAGTGATGTGGCTGATACAGCAAGGCAAGCCACGGAGAGTTCTGCTCAGTGTTCTGAACTGATACATCACCGCATTTTGAAGACGAGAACTTTGTAAGAATCAAGCACCTAACAAATTCGTTAAGAAAGCACAGGGGAGGAGATTATAAATGACTCAGAAAAATCCTGAAAGGAATCTTACGTATTTCAGATGCGGTATTCACACAACGACACTACTGCCAACAGAAAATAAGTGGCTTTGGAAGGAAGCTATTGTCTTTTTTTAACTGCATGTTCAGAAAGGAAAATCTTAAGAGAGATGACAAGCTAGATGGACAGCTATCATCAGAATTTAGGATCATGATGATCCTGGTGTGATAAAGTGAACAGAGGAATACATCATAACAGTTCTCGTATCTTGAGAGCTTGCTTGTTGTAAGTGCCAGGTCCCTGCCGTGAGAGCTACCTATAGAGGAACATACCTGTCCCACACACTCTAAGAGGAAGTCTCGGGAATGGATGCCGAGTGGTTATGCAAGTCACCCCAGGATCTAAGTGTCCACAGATGCTCGCACTCGTGCTTTCAAGATATACATGAGTACATGAGTAGCTGAAACAAAAGTATGTTCTGATGCAAAAGGAAAAAAAAAAAAAAAGGAGGCACACCTCATATCAACTGAATTGTTTATTCTGGTCTCCCTGTTGCCAGATTTGATGAGATGTTACCTCCCAGAGAAGGAAAATTCTCAGACACTAATTAACCTGGAGAGGTCAAGATGGATGAGTTGCTAGAGCCCTCTTTCAGGTGGGCTCAACTTTCCTTTAGAAACACAAAGGGGCTGAGCCAAGCTTATAGATAATTCCACTTACCATGAAAAAAACAAAAAACAAAAAAAAAAACAAAAATGCAACTCAGGGTATGGGTTTATAGATATTTCGGTCAACCTGGCTCAGGGTTTGAAGTGTAGGTATTTCTCCCCTCACTTTTGGAGGGATTCTCAATGCATAAAAAAGGCCAATAACATGAGTAACCTGCAGTTTGTCTAAATGGTAGGAAAATCCATTTAATCATTGAACATCTTGATGCTAAGTGAAGGCACTTTGTTTTCCTGAAGTACACAGAGAATAAGTAACATAAAAAAGAACTTGGTTTTTAAATGCTTTAGAAAGAAAACCACTCCTCTTTTCCTCCAGGCTGTTGTAATTCCCATCTCAGTAATGCAACTACAGGTAACTGAGCCAGACTGGTTTCTGAAGTATTTTCTTTAGGACCAAGGAAACCTAGGACGTCTTCAGATGAGGGGATGGAACTTGAAGACGGGCTTCCTCGGATTAGGAAAATGACTGGCAGTCTGAGTGCCAGTAGAATCTAATTCAACTTTTGCTGATTCATGGCTCAGTTGTCACTGTCCTAGACTCCAACCCAGCCAAATTAGCAAATTCTACCCTTGTGGAGAAGTTAGGAGGAGAACAGAGAATATTAGAGGTTTCCTCCACCCTACATTTCTTTCTTTCTTTTTTTTTTTTTTAAGATTTTATCTCTTTATTTATTTGACAGAGAGAGACAGCAAGAGCAGGAACACAGGTAGAGGGAGTGGGAGAAGGAAAAGCGGGCTTTCCGCTGAGCAGACCCCTCATTTCTTTACATTTAGTTTTAGTAAACCATTTGGTCTCACAGCCAAGACTAATAGGTGATGATCCCTTGGAGCTCAGAGTATCAGAAATGTGCTGCCCACATCCGTGTGGCCATTTAAAGTTCTTTAAAATTACCATTTATTTTATTTTTTTCAGTGTTCCAAGATTCATTGTTTATGCACCACACCCAGTGCTCCATGCAATACATGCCCTCTTTAATACCCACCCCCAGGCTCACCCATCCCCCCATGCCCCTCCCCTCTAAAAAGTACTGACCTAGGGCTAGTGAGACAAGCAAGTCAGAAGCTTCTGCAAAGCTCTGACATTGTTAAACTGGGTATGAAACCCACCCGAGAGCCGGATGCTCAGAGAATTCTGCACGTCACACCTTGATTTACACCCCATCATGCTACCCAGCCTGGGGTTATACATTACATAACCTGACAGGCTTATCCAATGAGTCATGAACACTCACCACAGAGAAAGGCCAGCAATTTTAAAAACACCCCAAAGTTGAGCCTCATATTTCCAAAAAGAGATTGAAAAGCCAAAATGAAACAAAGCCTAGTGA